TGACAATTCAAAAATTCACCATAAATATACATGATTTTAAATGGCCAAACCCCTTAAAGACAGGGGGAGGACTTGACCTTCCCAATATCAAGACTTCATCCCACGCTGCAGAAATGAAGTGGGACAGTAAGAAACAGACAAGCGGACTTCCGGGCAGGTGACTGATCCAGGTGGGAAAACACACAGTAAAGCCTGTAGATCCAGAAGACAGTATAAAAGAATATCTTCATGAAGGAGTAGGGGCACTTTTCTTAAGCCACAAAAAAAGCATTCTCTGTAAAGGAAAAGATAAATTTGCCTATCTGAAAACTGAGGACTCCTTTTCATCAGATGACCTCGCAGAGGGTGCAGGGGCGAGACCACGGGACTCAGTGCCAGAATACGTAAGGAACTTTGGATACTAAGACGACAGGCCAGCACAGAAATGGGCACAAGTCTTGCACAGGCACATGGTGAAGAGAGATATGGAAGCAGCTGATAAGCACACGATAAAAGGCTCAACATCATTAGTCGTCAGAGTAACGCAAGTTAAATCCACACTGAGACACCAGCACAGCTCTGCCTCCCAGCAGCGCTGAAACCCACAAGACTGACAAATGGGGGGTGGGGGGCGGGCAGCACTTGTACCTCCCTCTGCTGCTGGGGGTGGGACGCAAAATGATTCAGCCACTGGCGGGTGCAGGTTGGCAGCACCTCGTTGCACTTTTCAACAGATCCACAACGTCCTCAGGAAAGTCAGTCTTTACCACTTTCGGGTCAGTACCTCGAAGTCACACTAGAGCGACTCTAAGAGCGACTCTAAGACACACGCATTTTAACATCTCTGAAGTCAGGATGCACCTGAATCCAGTCCTCTTCCATTCCACTCCACCTTTCAGACGTGCCTGGCCCCCTCTCCTTCGCTGTGCTCTGGCACAGCTGGTACCTACACTGTCTGGCAGATCCCACACTGGACTGGAAGCTTCAGGAAAACACACTTTGTTCACCGCGGTGAATCCTAAACCTGGAATTGCCCGGTCAAAAGGCATGCACGTTTTCCAGCTGTGTTTTTATTACACAACACACGAACCCAGCTGCCTTACAGTTGAGCAACGTCTTGTACAAACCCTCCCCCTCCTCCTGATCCCTCCTCAAGGGCAGCCCACCGTCAGCAGCTTAGACTATATCCTTCTAGACTGGTCTTTGCACATACATGCATGTGAATACAGGGGGTATTAAGAGACCATCTACCTTCCAGAAATATCGTGGCAGCACACACATCAGCAACAGATGAGAGGGTCTGTGTTCAGTCCCTCGCCAACTCTGGATGTAGCCAATCAATTCTTTACCCATCTGACAGGTGGAAGCCACCTCGTGCTTTAGATCTGTATTTTCCTGAGGTGCAGGGCTCAGTTCCAGCAGTCTCTCTGGATGGTTTTCCAGATGTGAGCAGCCTCCCCTCTGCTGCCCCAGCACCCTGAGGTTACAGACACCGTCCTAGGCTTTCCTCCATCGTGAGTGCAGGGCTATTTTATACCTAGCTCTTTAACCCACCTGGAATTTATTTTGCATATAGTTATAATTACTCTTTCCAACCAGATAACCAACTTTACTTATTATAAGCCCTCCTTGACTCTCCTAATTTAAATGCCATTTTCATCAAATATTAACTTCTCATACACACTTGGAACGTTTTCTGGACTTCTATTATTTTTCACTGATTTCTGTGGCAAAGCCAGGCTGTCTTGATCATTGTAGCTTTATTGTAAGTTTGAGTATCAGGTGCAGAAAGTCCACCCCCCCCCCATTAAACTGAAAAAAAATTAACAGCAATTGTTGCACACTTTCCTTCCATATTAATTTTAAAAACATTTTTGCCATAGTTTAAAGGCTTGGTTTCCTGTGGGAACTCAGTTAAATCTCTATTTAAGAAGGCTAGACAGGGCGCCTGGGTGGCTCAGTTGGCTAAGCATCCAACTTCGGCTCAGGTCATGATCTCACGGTTCGTGGGTTCAAGCCCCGCGTAGGGCTCCGTGCTGACAGCTCAGAGCCTGGAGCCTGCTTCGGGTTCTGTGTCTCCCTCTCTCTGCTCCTCCCCAGCTCATGCTATGTCTCTCTCTCTCTCTCTCAAAAATAAACATCAAAGAAATTTTAAACAAGAAGGCTAGATATCTTTACATTACCTTTTCCTATTTTGTCCAGTTTTTTTGCTTCTGCCTTTTGGTAATTTTAAAATCATTCTTCATTTGGATCTGGATCTGTCTTGTTAAATATGTTCCTAGATTTTACTGTTTTTATCACTATTACGAGTTGGAATGTTTAAATTTGTTCCACTTTTAACTAATTCTTGCTATTGACTATTTGTAGAGTTTATTGTACTGAGTTCTCTAATTTTGTTTCCATGTATTCTTGGATATTCTTGCTAAAGAACTGTTGTCTCTTCTACTTTTTATACTACAAATTTCTCTTCGTTGTTTTCTATATTAGCTAGAACCTCAAAGCCATGTTGAGTAGACACTAGAGGGCATACAGTGCTTGATCCCCGGTATCCTGGCTTTTAGTGGTTTTAGTCATTTTCCATTTAAACATGCCATTTGCTGTGGGTCCATGTCCCAGCTTCAGCATCACTGGGAGCCCATTAGAAACGCAAAATCTGGGGCGCCTGGGGGCTCAGTCGGTTAAGCGTCCGACTTCAGCTCAAGTCACGATCTCAAGTTCGTGAGTTCGAGCCCCGCATCTGGCTCTGTGCTGACAGCCAGCTCAGAGGCTGGAACCTGTTTCGGATTCTGCGTCTCCCTCTCTGAGCCTCCCTTGTTCATGCTGTCTCTCTCAGAAATAAATTTAAAAAAATAATTTTTTCTTAATGCAAAATCTCCAGTCTTCCTGAACCAGAACCTACATCCTAAAAAGATTTCCCAGGTATTTCCTTACACAAAGTTCGAGAACATTGGTCTAGAGGATTTCTTTCTCTCTTGATTTTACTTAGTAAGAAAAGCTGTGGCCGTTGGGTTCTACCAAATAGTTTTTGGCATCTATTGGCCCCTGAAAAAATGGAGTCCTCCTTAGTGGTGGTGACCATGCTTTCCAGGGTTTGATACCCTAATTCTGGACCAGCCCTGTGCCTACAGCACCTTTCAGCCACCCCCAGCACTGTCGCTCACCACTTAATTCCTCATCCCGTCTCCTCAGCTCCCCAGAGCACCTGCAGGCTGAGAGAGGGAATGTTCTCCTGCTTCTGGTGCTGGATTTAACTTGACCTGTCGTTCTTTTACGGCTCAGCTGGGGGGCCGGGGGAGGCTTCCTCCTCTCTGTGGAGATGCTCTTTTATCTTGTTGAGTCACAGACCCCCCAAGAATCTGGACACCTCCCCAGCAAAACGCCCATTAACGGCTTTCCCTGTCTGCCGGTTGGGAAGCTCCTGGCTCCCTAAGCGGGTAGTAAGACCCTTGCTCCCTGCTTTCCCCAAACCTCTGGCTGCGGGGGACCCTGGAGAAATCCCACCACCAGCCCCCTCTGCGTGCTCACCACACACCAGGCACGTGCTGAACACCCACGGGCCCTCCACAGGCTCCGCCCACAACTCCAGGGGACACGTGACACTGCCGGCCCATTTTACAGATGGGGAAAACACCATGTCCTCAAGAAACCCGAAACTCTTTCAAGTCAAGGACTGTTCTTGGGACTGGGACCTGGCCAAGCTAGGTCACTGCTGACCACGAGGCCTGGAGGGAAACCTCAGCGGGGCCCCCGCTCCCTGGTCCCCAAGCCCCGTCCTCTGCAGATGGCTCTGAACCCCATTAGAACGGAGGGCCCTTCTCAGCACCACAGCTGACTGGACCAGTATCCCGGGTGTGATACAGGGACACCGACGCACCGCTCTCTAGGCTGCCCGGCAGCCTCTGGGGACACCTGAGTGCTCCCCAGTCAGGGTGCCCTCACCACCCAGGGCCCCAGTTGATCCTCCACTGGTGGGCGATGAAGTTGGGGGCAGAAGGAGCGAGCAGAAAACGCTGAAAGACCAGACAGAGGCAGGAGGCAGGAGGGGAGAGAGAAGTTTCTAGTAACGCAGCCCCAGGAGAAGGAGGTCTACGGAGAAGTGGTGTCACATCTCAGAGGGGCCGCACAACGTGAGCAACAAACGGACCCTTGCCAGACGGAGCGGCCTTTGTGCCAACAGCATCTCTGCGAGGGGCAGGCGTGGGGGCCCCCAGAGCCCAGGCGTGGACAGGCGTTGCCGCTCGCCCTGAAAGCGAGCCGGGAAGTAGCAACCCTCTGCCCAGGGGGTAGCTTTCTGTTTACAGACCAGACATGGTGGCCTTGGTTTCTGGACACAGAGTCAGATGAGAGAGAGCTTGTCTCCCGGCACAGGGCCGGCAGCTACCAAGGAGCACGGACGCCACACTCCACTCCCCCACAGTGAAGGGGACGCACCGGCAGCTCTGCCCTGCGGTCCCCAGGCCGGGCTGCAGGTGGGAGGAGGCCGGAGTTCGCAGCATCCTTCCAGACAGCTCCCAGGACAAGAGCTCTGGTCCCTCACGGTCTCCCGGCCGTAAGGTGACGGCAAGGCCCATGGCGGCCCAGCCAGCACAGTCCCAGAAAGGCCTCAGGAGGAAACACAGAGGACACGGGGCCCATCCCACGCTGGGCCTGGGCCCTGGAGCCACTCCGGGTTAGAACGCAGCTGAGGCCACCTGTAGGGTGGAGGCCCAGCCACAGGTGCACCGAGGGCCGCAGACCCCGCCTTCTTCTGGCCCCGGGACCCTCTGGAGGCAACAGATGGCCACCGGCAGGGATCACAGTCCCCAGAGAGAGTCTGGCCAGGCTGGTGTCCTTGCACGTCCAGGCATCTACAAAGGAGCCAGAGGCCCTCGGGGGGGTGGGGGGGCTGAGGAGCCGGCGGCCCTGGGGGGTGGGTAAGGAGCCGGCGGCCCTGGGGGAGGGGGGTAAGGAGCCAGCGGCCCTGGGGGAGGGGGGTAAGGAGCCGGCGGCCCTGGGGGAGGGGGGTAAGGAGCCGGCGGCCCTCAGGGGAGGTACAGGGCCACGACCACGTAGATGACCCAGCTGGTGGACACGAAGACCCCAAAGAGCAGGCTGAAGAGCACGAGCGAGCGGGCCTTGCGGGAAGCCTCCTCGGCCTGGGCCAGGTCCCCCCTGCTCAACGCCGCGCGGGTCTGCAACGAGACGGACGCAGGGAGTGGACACGGAGCCCCCAACGCCCCCGGCGCACCCCGGCAGGGCCAGGCCCCCGCACAGAGCTGGGAACACGGACAGCCTGCGGGCCGAGGGCCTGCCAGGGGCCACACCCTCGGCCTCACGACAGTCCTCACAACCAGCCTGAGACCCACCCGGGTCACTGCCCCCACCTTGCAGATGAGGAAACGAAGGCTCCGTTAAGGGACGCGGCCACAGGGCTGCACAGCTAGCCTGGAGCCGGATGTCACAGGCAGGCAGTGGCCTCCAGGCTCCCGCCTCCGCGCGGTCCTGACAGCTGCCGTCCCCCCTCCTCCGGCCTGGCTCACAATGGGGGAGCCTGACCATTGCGGGGAAGTCGGGGACCGGCCGGGCCTGCTGCGGGCAGAAGCCCCCAGGGGCTTGCCTACTCCATCAGAACATCCGTGCACCGGTGTCACTGGGTCCCCAGGGGCCCCGCGCCTGCTAACGGTCAGTGAGGTCAGGAGGGAGGAAGGAAGCTATACAGGTAATGGACGGACAGACGGACAGATGGACCAGTGGAAGGTGTCGGACACACAGGGACAGGTGGATGGTGAGTTAACAGACAAATGAATAGAGGGGTGGGGGGTCGGTGGGGCGAGTGGATGGACAGATGCAGAGCTAGAGGCGTCAAGGCGGAAGGCTGGAAGAAACGAGTGGATGGACGGGTGACCATCTCCACCGCACTCAGCACAAGCCCTCGCCGAGGCAGGCAGCTCCCTGGGCCTTAGCCATCGCTCACCCCTCCACTGGAACTTTCATAGAATTTTCTAGAACAGATCTTGAGTGGTATGGGGCAGAGACGGGAGAGGGGAGGAGGCGTCCATCGAAGGAGGGGTAAGGACCCTACAGTCAACAGATCACCATCTTCCCTATTCCTGCCCCCCTCCTGAGAGACCCATTGGCAGGGACGGGGGCGGGGGGAACGGGCTGGGTAGGCCCCACCCGGACTCTTACCCCCACTGCCCTGCCGGCCGGCCGCCCCACCCCCACCTACCTCGTGGGAGTAGACGATAGCGATGAGCCCCGTGAGGAGGCAACAGAAAAGGGTCACCAGCACGGACTCCATCATGTAGTCCTTGGGCAGGGGTCGGTGCTCCACCACGGGCACGCCGGGCACGGGGCTGTTGTACTGCGGGGGCAGGGTGACACAGCTGTGAGGACACGGCCGTCCAGGGCCCAGGGGGGGTCCCTCCGTCCGCCCCCGACTCCCGCCCAGTGAGGCTGTGGGTCACCGCGGGGTCAGGTCAGGGCCCTCGCGCTTTCTGCCTTCGCCCTCTGCACCCCCCCCCCGCCCCCAGGGGTCGTGTTACGGGTGCCTTCCACAAACTGCTCAGTCCAGGGTGAGCCGTGGCCACGCCTGTCCTGCCCGGCTCCCCCCACCGGGGCCTCTGAGCCCTCCTCCACAGGCCCCCAGGGTGTTCTGGTTTTCCTAAAGTCTGATCAAGTCATCTCCCACCCAAGGCCCCAGGGCCCCTCACAACGCACCCCGCCCTCCTTCCGTCCTTAAGCTGAGCCCACACCAGCGTTCCCAGAATAGCCAGGCCTGGCCACCCCCCCACACTGGGCCCAGAGCACCCCTCCCTCCTCCCTCAGAACTCAGCTCAAACGTCCCCACCTCTGGGAAGCCTTCCAGGCTTGCCCACCCCCCAGACTGCCTTGACCTTCTCCTTTCCCTCATCTGGGCACTAAAGCCCCTCTACAGGGGTCCCTTATGGCGACTGCTGGTCATCTGTGTGCCCATTCGCCCCACTCACCCACCCCCGCCTGGGAGGCGGCGAGAGAAGTGAGCCAGCGCGACAGGGGAGACCCGGGTACAGGGGGCGCACGCCAGCCACTCACCACCGGGAAGGACGCAAAGATCGGCGGCGTGGCGGGCGCGGGGTACAGGGGCGCGGCGGGCGGTGGCGGGTACAGGGCCTGGGGCGAGGGGCCGGGCTGGAAGAGGACCGGCCCCTGCGGGAAGGGCGGGTAGAGCAGGTGCACGGCCTTGGGGTCCGGCGGCGCATAGGGCGGGGGCTCGCCCACGAAGCCGATGTTGGGCACCCCTCCGGCGGCCACCTTGGGCCCCTGCCTGGCCTCGCCCGTGGCCTCGGCCTGGGTGGGGGCGGCCGTCGAGGCCTCGGCCGGGGGCTCGGCCCGGGGTTCCTCCGGGGCCGGGGAGCTGCCCCCAGCGGCGGCCGCTTCCTCGCTGGGCCCTCCGTCCTCATCCAGGAGCCGCGGGCGGCGCGGGAGCTGGGGCAGCGGGGGGCTGCGGGGGGCCTCGGGGGCGGCGGGGTCCTCGGGGCCACCGCCCCCTTTTGCGTCCGCTCCTGGGAAGAAACGTGCTGTGAGCAGTGGGACTTCTCCCCGGGAGCTGCCAGTCACAGCCCCTCCAGGGGACAAAGTCACAGCGTCGCTGCCAGTCCCCACGGCGCACGCGCCCCGCACTCCGGCCGCTCCCCGCGGGGCCCGGCGCTGGAAGAATCTAGCGGGAGGGGAAGGGTGAGATGAGAAAACAGAGGTGCGGGCGGAAGGGCTCCCGGCGTCACCCGCCCGCGCAGCACCAGGCTGGGATGGGACACAGGCCCCCTGCCCGCCTGGCCCCGGTCCCCAGGGCTGCCACTGGGTCCTGCCCCCACTGCCCTGTCCCTGGCAGGCGGGGCAGTAACATCTGCCAGGGTGGCCGAGCCAGAGGCCCAGCTTGTGAGGCAGGGAAGACGGGCGCCCGGCTGAGGCCGGACTCCAAAGAGTCAGGAGGCCCCAGGGGCCAAATGCCATCTGGGGCACAGACTGAACGGAATGGGGGCGGGGAAGGGGCAGGGCGGGGGGGGGGGTGGCACCGGCATCGGGAAGCGAGAGCACAGAGGCCCCCAGCGGCCACCCGGAGACGCCTGTGGAGACCCACGGAGCAGGGGCACCACTAAAATGGAGTCAGGAGGCCAGATGGGACACTCGCGTGTCCCGAGTGTCAGTGACACAGCCCAGCAGAGGCCTCCCGACAGGAGGCGTCGTGACCACAGCCCCAGCGGGGAAGGACGGCCGCTGCCTCCCCTGCGAGAGAGCCACCACCCCAGCCACTCGCAGGGAGAAGGCGCCCTCGCCCTGAACTCCCGCCCATGTCCGGGTCAGGACAGCCCCTCCCGGCGTCCTCCTCATAAGAGAATCCCCTTTTCTTTGTCGCACTTGCCCGTGGCTTTGCCCCGGCTCGCGTGTCCCAAGCTGCAATTCTCTGCTATTCCCGAATAAACCCATTTGTGCTGGTAAAGCAACGGGCTGTTATTTCTTAGGTTCTCACTCCAGATGCACCCAAGCAGGTTCTACAAGTCCTGAAGGTTCCCTGCAGCTCCTTAGGGACCGGGCCAAGGACCTTCTGGAGGGAGGGCCTGCAAGAGGGACCTGGGTGGGCATTCAAGGCCCCACGGGGGCGCCTGGGTGGCTCAGTGGGTTAAGCGTCTGACTTCGGCTCAGGTCATGATCTCACAGTTCGTGGGTTTGAGCCCCGCGTCGGGTTCTGTGCCGACAGCTCGGAGCCTGGAGCCTGCTTCGGATTCTTGTCTCCCTCTCTCTCTGCCCCTCCCCAGTCCCCCACTCATGCTCTTTCTCTCAAAAATAAAACTTAAAAAAGAAAAAAAAGGTCACAGGAGGCAGAGAGATAAGTAAACCAGCTGTAGCCCCAACAGCTCAGGGAGGGGGTAGGTGGGAGGAGCGTTGCTGAGATGCTGAGATCCCCCTCCCATTCGCTACCCCCTTCTCCCCTCCCAGGCGCCCTGGCACTGGTGGGCAGTCAGAGGCCAGGGGTCCTAGAGAGGAGGTGCCCCACAGCAGGGACAGCTGCACCCCCGAGAATTCCCCACCCACCCACTCCCAGCAGCCAGGGTCTCGCTCCCAGGCCCGCGGTGGGGTCGATGCGTCCACACCCTCGCCCGTGCTGACCCGCGAGTTCTGCACTCCTCAAATCGGACGCGGCAAGTGTCGTGCTTTGCCAACAGAACGCTGACAAACATCTTCCAAACAGGCTTTGCAAGCCTCTCTCTCCAGGTTACCGGGGCCGGGGAGCCCGTGTAACACCGGGGAGTGCACGCGGGGGGGACGGAAACGTTCAGGGAACAGACGGTAGTAAGAGCCGCACAACAGTGTGATGCCCCTGGACTGTGCACTTAAAAAACGGCGAGGAGGGGGGTCCTGGGTGGTTCAGTCGGCTGAGTATCTGACTCGATTGTCGCCCAGGTCATGATCTCTCAGCGGTTCAGGAGCCTGAGCCCCGCATCGGGCTCTGTGCTGGTGGTGCGGAGCCTGCTTGGGATTCTCTCTCTCTGCTTCTCCCCTGTGCTGACTCATGCGCTCTCTCTCAACCAATATCTTTTAAAAATGTAAATAAAATTCTGTGGTAAAACAGGGGCGCCCGGAGGGCTCAGTCAGTGGCACATGCGACTCTTGATCTCCGAGTCATGAGTTTGAGCCCCATGTTGGGCACACAGTTTACTTAAAGAAATATAGGGGTGACTGGGTGGCTCAGTCAATCGTCCGACTTCAGCTCAGGTCGTGGTCTCACAGTTTGTGAGTTCGAGCCCCACACTGGGCTCCGCACTCATGGTGCAGAGTCTGTTTGGGATTCTCTCTCTCCTCTTCTCTCTCTGCCCTTCTCCTGTCATCCTGTCTCTCAAAATAAATAAACTTAAAAAAATTTTTTTTTAATTTAAATCTAGGGGCGTCTGGGGGGCTCAGTCAGTTAAGCATCCGACTTCAGCTCAGGTCATGATCTCACAGTACGTGAGTTCGAGACCCGCATCAGGCTCTGTGCTGAATGTTTGCTCAGAGCCTGGAGCCTGCTTCGGATTCTGTGCCTCCTTCTCTGCCCCTCCCCTGCTCATGCTCTCTGTCTCTCAAAATTAAATAATGTAGGGGCGCCTGGGTGGCTTAGTCGGTTAAGCGTCCGACTTTCGCTCAGGTCATGATCCCGCGGTTCGTGGGTTCGAGCCCCGCGTCGGGCTCTGTGCTGACTGCCAGCTCGGAGCCTGGAGCCTGTTTCAGAGTCTGTGACTCCCTCTCTCTCTGACCCTCCCCTGCTCACGCTGTCTCTCTCTCTCTCTCCTAGAAATAAATAAAACATTAAAAAAAAGTTTAAAAAAAATTTAAATAAATGTAAAAAAATATATGTAAGTCTATCTCTCCTATGGATCTAGACAAAACACAAAAAAGTGACCAAAAGCAAACTGTGGAGTCGAACCCCAAAGAAGCGACCCTCAAGCGTGTGGGTTCCCACGCACTTCCTCTCATTTCCCGCAGGCGCCAGCCCGGCCAGAGCGACGTGATGGAGCAGGACGGGGGGACCAAAGCCCTCCAGAGGCCTGGTCACACTCGGGCCGGAGGAAGGAAGAAAGGGGCCTGCAGAATGGAGACGCCGGGGAAACCCCGGTGTCAAGGGGAGGCCACCGAGGGGACCGGGCGGCAGTCGACCCCAGAGCTGGAGGCCCACGCGCAGAGGCTCCCCACCACCTCCCCTGTGCCCGGGGTGTGGGCTCCACTTGCCTTCCCCACTCCCAGACGCTGCCCCCCCCCACGGCCTTCAGACGGTGACGCGGTGCTGAGACCCCCCCCCCCACCCCGGACCGTACATGTGACCAAACCCAGTTAAGGCCTCTGTCTAGACCTGTAAGACCTGGTGGGGCCCTGAGGTGAGCCCGCAGGGGAGACCCTCGCTCCTTAAACCTGCCACTTGCTCTCTGGAGTGGCCCGTCTCTTTCTTCAGACTCTCCCTGCCTTCTGAGTGCAGGGGACCAGCTTCAGATCGCACTCGAGAATGTGCCAGCCCACACCTAGGAAGGAAGGGGCTGCAGAGGGGGACCCCCCAGTCTGTGCGAGAACCGGGTTGACCAGCGTTATCTGAGTCTTCCCGGGACTTTCTCAGATTTACTACTAAAATGCGTACATCCTGGGAACACCCCTCAGCCTCGGACGAATTGGGACGATCAGTCGCCCCGGAATGGATCCGCAGGTCCTAGGCTCACCCCCGAGCTGCATTTGTCAGGGACAGACCCAGACCAGCCAAACAGGACACCAAACAAGACCGCCGAATAGCCAGAAAACAGTGAACCAAATGGCAGTAAGTACACCCCTGTCAGTAGTTAAGGGGCGCCTGGGTGGCTCAGTCGGTTAAGCGTCCGACTTCGGCTCAGGTCATGATCTCAGAGTTTGTGCGTTCGAGCCCCGCGTCAGGCTCTGTGCTGACAGCTCAGAGCCTGGAGCCTGTTTCAGATTCTGTGTCTCCCTCTCTCTCTGACCCTCTCCTTCTCAAGCTGTCTCTCTCTCTCTCTCTCTCTCAGAAATAAAATTTTTTAAAAAGTTAAAAGAAATTATTTTTAAGAAAAAAATAAAAGAAATAAAATGGTCGCTATTTGCAGCTGACAGGATATTAACAGAAAACAAAACTCCACCAAAATACTCAGAATTAATGAATGAATTCAGTGAAGTTGCAGGATACAAAATCAATAAACAGAACTCCAATGCATTTCTATCCACTAAAAATGAACTATCAGAAACAGAAATTAAGAAAATAATCCATTTAGAGGAGTCTGGTTGGCTCAGTTGATGGGCCATGTAACCCTTGATCTTGGAATTATAGGTTGCAGCCCCATATTGAGTATAGCAATTACTTAAAAATAAAATCTTTAAGGGGCGCCTGGGTGGCTTAGTCGGTTAAGCGTCCGACTTTCGCTTGGGTCATGATCTTGCGGTCGTGGGTTCGAGCCCCGCATCGGGCTCTGTGCTGACTGCCAGCTCAGAGCCTGGAGCCTCTTTCGGTCTGTGACTCCCTCTCTCTCTGACCCTCCCCTGCTCACGCTGTCTCTCTCTCTCTCCTAGAAATAAATAAAAAACAAAAAAAAAAATCTTTAAAAAAAAGAAAGGAAACAACCCATTTACAATTGCATCCAACAGAATATCTAAAATCATAATAATACCTAGGAATAAATTTATCCTTTTTGAAAGTAAACTCTACCCCCAATGTGGGGCTTGAACTCAGGACCCCAAGATCAAGAGTTGCATGCTCTACTGACTGAACCAGCAAGGCACCCCTAGAAATCAAGTTACAGGCACCTGAGTGGCTCAGTTGGTTAAGCGTCTGACTTCAGCTCAGGTCATGATCTCATGGTCCACGAGTTCAAGCTCTGCATCAGGCTCTGTGCTAACAGCTCAGAGCCTGGAACCTGCTTTGGATTCTGTGTCACCCTCTCTCCCTGCCCCACCCATTCATGCTCTGGCTCACTCTCTCTCAAAAATAAACCAATATTTAAAAAAAATTAACCATGAAGGTATAAGACCTATACGCCAAAGATGAGAAGACATTAACGAAAGAAAATGAAGACAACAACACAAATAAATGGAAAGCTATTCTACATTCATGGATTGGAAGAATACTGTTAAAATATCCATACTACTACCCAAAGTAATATACAGATGTAGCGCAATCCCTATCAAAAATCCAAT